AATCAATTTTTTCTTCACAAAGCATTGGCTCTTGTGAACACTGCAAAACCACCTCTGTATCTTCTTCCCACTGTTAGTGAAATTGAACTTTACCTTCCCAGTAGCATAATTGGCATCGACTTGTCCCCGAATACACTGAGAACAATTAACTACTAAGCATCCCCGATCAGTCGCTTGCTTAATTTCCTTGATAATATCTTTACGTCGTGTTGGCATGTTGCCGGCACCATAAGTTTGCAGAACTACGCCTTGAGTTGGAGGTTGTAAAGCAGCTTTGACCTGTAAGCACAACATCGTTCAGTGACTTCGGTTCAAGTTTTCTAGAGTGAGAGCTACAGTTTGAAAATAGAAATCGATGGCATTGTTTTAAGAATTGAATGTTTGTTTTTTTGAAAACTAGCTTTGCAATTTATTTGGAACCTACTGATTCGATAGTTATTGATGGAAATATTCGAAGTAAGGATACATTTCGACACAAATTATCGTGGACTGCGAATGGTCCGGAATTTGGTCGGTATATGGATTCATAGTTTACTATAAATTTCATAACTTTAAAAATCTGTCATAGCAATGAGAAGGTTATCGCTAATTTCAAGCTTCTGCGGGTTAATTTCAATAACGTTAAATCGAAAAATAATAGGCAGTTGCAAATTTTGCTGTAAAAGTAGTTACTCAAAGAATGAAGGCTAGTTATGCTTTCTTATTTTTATCTTGTTAACCTAAGGTTTCTCTATTTGAGTTCAAATCTAAAAATTATTTTTTAAGCACCGGTATGAAGTGGTCTTGCCAAAAAGATGACATAATCTTGCTTTTATACTGAAGTCTGATTTCTAACAACCATTTTATGGCTTTGAAAATGGAATGGAATCGCGCTCTCGTTGTTCAAGTAGCAAAGTTTACATTTTGACAGTGAACTTAATCTTTTCGATGTTCAAATTCTGATAAATGAGAAACTTATTCCCTTAAACGTCATTTAGCGTATTGATGTTGTCTTCCTTGATTGTCTATTTTATCTAGTATCTGTAGCTGGCGTATATGAGTTTAATCGCAAGATGTTACTGATACGTTTGGTATCAGAGTAACAAGAATGAACATAACGCTACCATAAATAGTTTTTCTGATTAAAATCAATTTAAGCAAAAGGTTATTTTGTAACCCATGAAAAGTACTTTTCTATTGTTCTTCTTCCCACTTCTTGTTAGCTGTAAAGAAAGCTTGTTATCTTCAGCCGCCACTGACCGGTTTTTAATTTATTAATACTATAAAATGTAATGAATTTAATGTTGAGTAGCACGTCGATCGCATTTTTCAGATAATTTTGGTCTCTTAGTGGTTAAACAAAGTTGCCAACTTTAACTTACTAAAAGCTGAATCGCTAGAGGATTATTAGCAGTTTTAAGATGATTTTATATATGCTGGTACCTTTGATATTAATCTCCAAACTTGCAAGTGGTAACAGATTGGGACTATCAAACGCGTCAAGACCACTATTGTCAATTTTAATGCACCGATTACCTCTCATCAGTTTGTTGTTGAAATAAACCGTAACTTCTGGTATATCAATGTTACCAGCAATGATTAATGAACATATCATATTCTCCCTACCGTCAGATCGTACTTCACTTACTGGAATCTAGAAGAAAGGAGAATAAAAAAGAAAGAAAAAAAACAACGTTTACTCTACACTTGTATAGTGTTAAAAGAAAGTTGGTGAAAAAGGTCTACAGCTGTTTGCACTGTTATGATATTACAGATAGATCTTATTTCAAATTGAAAGGATGTAGGAACAACTGAAACCTGAGCTCCTGTAATGACGACTGGTTTTCCCAAATTTTCAAACATAAAGGATAGTGCGCATGCTGTATACGCAAGAGTGTCTGTGCCGTGAAGGACTACGAAACCATCGTACTTTTCGTAGGCATCATAGATGTCTTTACCAATACGAATCCAGTCATCAAATGTCATGTCTGAAGAGTCCAGTAGCGGATGATATTCAACAACCCAGTAAACAACCCGTTTCTTCAGCTGCCTTAAGGGAGGTAAACAGTACGGTTGCACAGCTTCATTGCTGTAGTGTTTTTCCACATAATCTACATCGTTTAGTGGAGGCAAATTTCGAATTGTCTGTGGTAAGTAGTTTGCTTCTGGATAGTAAACTAAAAATTTGGCAGATTTAATTCGGCTAGAAGCATGGATTGAAAGTTAAGAAAAATGACTGGTGAAAGTCATGCTGAATAACAGAAAAACAAAACATGCAACCTCCTCGGTGGGATTTCATTCCAATTGTGCCACCGGTATACAAAACAAGAATTCTGGATTCCGGAAACTCTTTTTGGTCGGTTATTGGGCGTTCAAAAACTGATATTTTTTTTGTTGGTAGAGGCTTTCTTCTTGCAGGAATAGATTTTGCCAGTAACTAAGTTGGAAAAATCATGTATTTTCAAATGTTATTTTTTTTAAGATTATAGTAAATTTGGCAGATTTTGAAACAGACATTATTGTTTTTTTGGTTTTTTGTTTTTTTTTTAGACACTTACTGGACAAAATTATATCAGAATATACAGGATCAGTCATTTTTGGTGCTCGGCTGTTGAGAAAGTGTTTATTGATATAATCATTTCTTGTCACTTACTGAAGCAGTACTTTGTTTTGCTACCGTCCTGGTGTGGACCATGAAACGTTTGGGGAGATGGTTCTCATCCAAGGGATGGCAATCATAAGTAGTTATAGCTTCTTCATCGAGGAACATTTCGCTTGAAAAGTATACAGAGTTAACACCGTGTACTGATGGACAGTAAAGACTGAATTTCTAAAAATTTTTCAAATTTGTTGAACATTTGTTGAAGTAAACTCATACAGATGGGTCAGAAATGTAGATGAGGTATATATATATGTATGTAATATGTACGTAAACGCTACGCCTATATGTTATCTAAACCTTGTATTCTCAATTTTTAGCGTCATTTTCATGGATGATTGATTTCACAAACAAACTAATTGAATTACTGTTGACAACGGTACCTTGCATCTCCGCTCGGTAAAGATATGGCTCGTTGTTGACGGCGTTGAAAATTGCCGTTTGCTTTCAATTTTCTGTAAGGATGCTCATATCGGATCAAAACAAAAACAAGAATCTTAAAACTACAATTTTTTTTTT